TTCATATTTCAGATTTCAGAATTTCTTCAAGTTCTCTTCTTCCTATTTTCGCCACCTTTTCTCTCTCCTAGAGAAATCGGTGTTATTCGCTAGGTGCTAGCGAACGCCCGGTGCTTGCATAGCCAGCTCCGGTTCTCATCGCGTCCACGCTGCGTCAAAGTCTTATTGAAGGCCATGTTCTTATAATCTTATCCCTTGCTTTGTATTCTTGCTTCTAAGAAGGAAGCTTAGCTAATGTACATTTTCAACTTTAAACTGTGTTATTTTTATTCATAATCAAGTATTCAAGAAATAACTTTCATGTCTAAACCATTAGAAGTTGGTGTTAGACAGTGTGTGCCTTTAGCTCCATCAGTTTGATGTTACTGACATTTATTGTTGAATAAAATCAATAAATTATTATTTCATGTGTGCTATGGTGTGTTTTTGTGAATTACCCCATAGTTCTACATTTATGAGATTATGTATGCTTATATGTTCTTAGCTAAATGATGAATTTGTGGAGTTTATCATATCAAGGCTGACACTCTTGTACTGCCGATTTGGTAGAGTTGTCTATCTCAACTGCTCAGGTTAGAACTAAGGTACAGTAGGTGGTGTTTTAGAAACACTGGATGGGACCATTTCTAGTTTAATGTTGGATTGTGGAGATAGAGGATTGAAACTGGAAAGCTGCACTTGATAGTGATACTACACCAAGTGTTGAATTGACATACTTTTGATATGCCAACCAGTGAGATCCTTCTAGGGTTAAATATCTAGGTATGTTGGAGCAGATACGGAAAGTACTTGAGTGAGTGATCATTGTGATGGGATCAACCACTTTGTCGAACAAAGAGAATATCCCAAAGTACACTCTATATGATGGAAACCTAAAACTGCTAGCAATGGATTTCAACTTGTTTTGAAATTGGTTTTGCAAAACATTCTTATATTAATAAATAGTTTGCAAAATGGTTTTAATCCCGGGATCCATTTGAGTGGAGGGTGTGATACTACATCTTGTAGTCAAGGAAGAAGTCCTTCTCTGTCAACAATGTTTGGATATTATGTGACTTGTTGGGCCGAATCTGGGCTTAGTTAGTGTTGGGTCTATTCACCAAGTTTGACCTACTGAATTCAGCCCATGTACTTTTAGAATGTGGGCTGAACCCTTTTGGTTTAAATTGAGATCTATGTGGGTCCCATGCCACACAAAGATAAGGTTCAATAGTTGGTCAAAGTTGTGAGAGAATGGGATTGCTTAAGAGGCAAGTTTGTTTCCAACTACCTAGTTTGTCTAGGTAGTTAGTTTGTTGGAAACTTACGGTTGAATTAGGAAACTAACTAGATCACCCTTATTCTAAGTTGGTTTGGATTGTTTCCTAATTTCTAGCTTTTCTAATCAGCTAGGAGAGTTATTAGGAAACTTCTACTTGGACTCAGAGTCTAAGCTACATAAGATATAGAGGAGGGAGACTAGATTAAGCAATCAAGACAAGCTTTCTTGCAAAGAAACCCTAGTTCGACCTAAGGGAAAAGGAGGCTCTTTTCTTCTTCTCCCACCAAACTTTTACAGAAAGGCTTCAGCCTTTTGATAATACATCAGAGGTACACCATTGCTGAATTCGATCCAGCTTTTGGAGTGCAACAATCAACATTGATTCTTTCAATTGTCTAGTAAGACCAATTACCAATTTTTTGAGCCATCTTCAGCTTTGGGGATCTTTGGACTTGATTCTTTTAGCATGTTTACCACCTAGGTAGCTGCATTTGTGGACTCTGTATGTGGTAACATCTTACCCGATTGATCGAAATCAATTTGGCATGATGTTCTAAATTGATCCTTAGAGAAAATTGGTTTCTAATGAGATATTCAATCTGTCTCTTGGGCTGATTTTAAGAATTTTAGAAATTCACCCTTTCTACCATCAAGGTTCAACCTTTATGGCTTTGTGCAACGGTTAGCCTGTTCTTCAGTAAGATTTTTCAGATTTTCCACTTGCTATTTTTTTGGCAAATGATTTATTATAGAAGAGAGAAAATACTCAAGTAAGATGGTGGGCCTTGGTGCAATGGTTTGGTTCATCCATTGTGTCTTGGGTGACCAGTGTTCAAATCTTGAGAACAGCCTCTCTGTATGTGCAGGGGGCAAAGCTGCATATCCTGTCCCTCCCCAGACCCCACATTGGCGGGAGCCTCATGCACTGGGCTGACCTTTTTTTAGAACAAAATCAAGTAAATTGAAATATTCTGGTTTTCTATTGACGAAGTGTTTTTCTCTTCCTCCCCCCTCCCCCCAAGCTACATTCATCACTCTCTTATCTCTGCAAAGAATTTCTGTACATAATAAAGTAGGAGCAAAGCAAACAGAAAAGAAAATAAAGAAAATAGAAAACGGAGAAGACCCACTGACACCAAAAAATGGAAAAAAAAGTCAATTATGCTTCTAGCTTTCTCAAAAAGAGAAAATGATCCTCAGCCAAAATAGCACCTAGGTCTACTATGGGGTTCTCTATGGAGGATGTTGATTGCATGTAATATGGTGTTGTGAATTTTGGTTGGGATACAAGGGAGGTGAAATTTTCTTTTGGTGTTTGTTTTTGGAAGGGAATCATGAGGTTCCATTCAAAATTTTCAAATTATGTTTCTTTAATGTTGGAAATAGGACAAGCATAAGGTCCTGGGAGCATGGTTGTTTGGTAGTTGGAAAACTGTGTGACTAGGCCCATGATTGTTTAGGCTAAGTAGGGAAAACTTTTCAGTTGCCTAGTGCCATTAAGTTGTTCAGGATTCTATGGTTTGGTGCCCAAAATTCAGAAGGCCACTTCTTTACTCTGAAGTAGAATGTGTAAACTTGTTATCTAAGATGCGGGCATTAGAAATGCAAGCAGAGGGGCCTGATGCAAGATGGTGGAATGAGAGCAGCAATATGGTGTTCTCTATAAAATTATTTTACAAAGCATTGGCAAGAAATCAGGTTGAAAGATTGAATATTAAAGGCTTATGAGGCATCCCAATTCCTCTAAGGGTTGAGGCTTTTGTGTGGTTGGTTGCATACTTGTATTGCACACAATTCTCACTCAAGATTGAGTTTGGATATGCTGACCACATCACATTGCTGGCTACATTCACACAGCCGCACATCTGGAACTTCGGTTGTACTTTACATCGCCGATATTCCCGACATGAGGCTGGATGAGTGTGGTCAGCAGTGTGTTGTGGTTGGTAGATCTGGACTCCTAAAATCATATCAAACGTAGGGACCTCTAGTTGGTGGGAAGATGTTATCTATGTCAGTAGATCTGGACCTCTAGTTGAAGGAGGAGGATCTCCTTCACTTATGCTTTGATTGCTGTTACTCAAAGATCGTCTGGGGTTATTTATTTAATTTGTTCAAAATGGACATGTGGCCCGGAAAGTTGCTGAAAAAGGTTTTTGCACTTTGGCCTGTATTGAACGAAAGCAGAAAGGCAAAGATAACATGGAGTTGTGTGCCTTCTGCAATCTGTTGTGAATTATGGAAGGAGAGAAATAGAAGAATCATTAAAGACTATCACAAGTATTATAATCGCCTTGTCTCAATTGTTGGGAAAATAATTTTGTATTGGATCATGATTCTTCCAGAATTTGTGGATGATTGTAAAGAGTCCTTTGAGGTTGGTTTTTGGTCAGTCTTAGGGATGAACTGGGGGGGGGTGAAAGTTGTATGTTTTCTTTAATGCTGTAATCTTGTTTTTAGGGGTGTTCATTATGGTTTTGGTTTGGTTTTCTGATTTTTGGAAACCGAACCAAACCGTAAACTGAAACATATAATATAATAACATTCTAATATTAATATATTATATAATATATTAACTTTCTAAATTCTACCCTAGTAGAATGGCCCAAACCTATTAGAAACTGGACCAAACTGTAATAAAATGCTTTGATCTGGTTTGGTTTCTATACTAAAATGATTTGGTCTGTTTCTATTACTAAACTGAACCAAACTGGTCTGTGAACACCCTACATGTTTTTGTTTGTTGGGTGATCTCTCATCACCCCTTAGTTAGACTTGTTTTGTTTTTGCATTAATGAAATTTCTTTTTTTATTTATTACCCTGAAAAACTCCTGTCCACAGTGGACCTCCTATACAATGACTAGCACAAATCTAGAAACAGAACCACCCACACCAAACCTCTCCTAAACAATAATCATCTAGTGGTTGATCTTTCTCTTCTGCTTCTGTATTTACCTTTGTCTCTACTGAGACTTTTTCCTTTACCTTACTTACCCCTAATTTTGATAGTATCAAAAGATATTCCACCTCATCTTTAGCCACCACCACATCCTTCTTCTAGATTAGATGATTTAACTTCCATCTTCTCCACCCTATTTCTTCTCTTGAAATGAACCTCAGTATCTACTTCAGACCACTTTTTTGACCTCTGTTGCTAGATGATAATGGTATTCTAACTTTTTAAAACTGCAAGGCTTGGCTTCTACATGGTTTATTGTCATTTCTTGTACCCAGGCTTCTACTACCCATTGCGTTGCCTTTTTTTTCCTTGTCATTATTTTCATGGTTGTAATGGAGTGCTAATCAATGTTTGTTGTTAATGTAGGCATATGTGGGGATTCATCGCCCAACAGATTTAAATGAAGCAGATTTAGCTCGTAGAAGGTTAATATTTGATGAATTCTTTTACCTTCAGGTAATATTTTACATTTAAATATGCATCCTAAGCTGACCATATATAGTTAGGATAAAGCTTAGATGATGATGATGATGACCCTAAGTCTCAAGTGCACTATTTTTTATTCCAAAAACATTGATGATTTAGCATGGCATAACTCTATTTATCTACATGACCAACTCAAATGCATGTTCTAACCAAAAAATGGATTAAATATGTACATGTATCTAAAAAGGCCACTATTCAATGCTGGTCCTGGCTATCTGGGGTTGTGAGAAGGGTGGACTAGATGCAGACCTAACCTCCAGAATTTCAATGTAAAGTGAACTAGATGTAGACCTGAGATTTTAGTATTAAATATATTAATGTTTTTAATTATTCAAGGGAAATAATGTTTCCACAGTATATCAAATTCATTAAAAGGAATCTATCCCACATGCTTTTCTCCCCTTATTTGAATTAAAAATTTCTTTTTAATGAAGCATATAGGACAAAATTCCCTGTGGCATTTGACTAAACATGTTCTAGAAATATATTTCCCCTCCTCACTTTACTCTTGGTGGATGTGTGGGCCCACCCTAAATTTTGTTATGCTTGTGGAAAATTGTGCCTAGAAAAAAAGAAGCCTCTCCCCCAGTTGGGGGGACAGGGGGAGAATTGAGATACCCATCTCCCCTAAATAAATGTGGATATATAATTTCCTTCCCATAAACCTACCCTGTTACATTTCTTTTGAAAGATACAGAAAAGTTTGCAAACCTTTAAAGATATTATGCTAAGGCTATTGCTAGTTTGCTAATCTAGTATCATCACTCACGGTCACACATATCCCTAGTTTGCTATAAGGTTTCTTGGTAGTTCAAATTGCTTCTTAAACACCATAATCTTCTTTTCTGCTGCATTAATTTCAGCAAGTCATGGAAGAGTATTTCATTTTCTACTATAGCTTTATGTTCCAGGTTAGATACTTAGATCTTGCTTGACTAGTGGATGATCTAGGCCAAGAGCCATCTGATAACTAATACTGGAAATAAAGATGAGTAGTCGATCAAGACTACAATCAGTCTTGAATTCAAAAGAAAAGAAAGAAGAAATTTCAGAAGAGAAGAAGAAGAGAGAGAGAAAAGAGAAGAAGCCCACGAAGAGATTTTGAAAACAGAGAGAGGGTTGATCAGTAGATCTGCCGACCCACTCTTAATATTTATATATGTTGACTAATTGTAAAAGGGCTGAATTGCCCTTATTGCTTACATGGCAAATAAACTAATAATAAAGCTGGAATAACAAGCTGTAATAACAAACTAAAATAACTACCAACTAACACTGACATAACTAACAAAAATGTGCTACCATACGAACACAGTGGGGACCACAGCAGTGGGGTCTACATCAATGTTTTCTACACTCCCCCTCAAGTTGGGAATAGATATTTGTCATTCCCAACTTGCATAGGTCTGCCTCTAACTTCTTCCTAAGAACAACTTTGGTGAGAAGATCTGCGAGTTGCATGCTGGAGGTGATATACGGGAGACACTTTTTGAGACGAAACCCTTTCTCTGACAAAATGTCGGTCGACTTCAATATGTTTAGTTCTGTCATGCTGTTCCGGATTGTGAGCTATATTAATAGCAGCATGATTATCACAATACAACATTAAGGGCTTCTCATAAGCTATACCCAATTCCTCAAATAATAACTTCAGCCATAGGATTTCAGCCACACCATTAGCCATAGATCTATATTCAGCTTCAGCACTAGAACGAGAAACAACACTTTGTTTCTTACTCCTCCAGGAGACAAGGTTACCTCCTACAAAGGCACAATATCYAGAGGTAGACCTTCTATCATCAACACTCCCAGCCCAAWCAACATCTGTATARRCCTCTATCTTCATGTGATCATTATTCTTGAATAATATACCTCTACCTGGACATCTCTTCAAGTATGCTAATATCCTCTCAACTGCAAGGAGGTGAGTAGTTCTAGGGGAGTGCATATATTGACTGACAACGCTGACTGCATAACTAATTTCTGGTCGTGTGAGACAAAGATAGAGGATTTTTCCAACTGACCATTGGAACATAGCTTTGTCTTCAAGTGGCTCTCCACCCTCTGCACTGATCTTGTGATTCTGTTCAATAGGTGTATTTGCAGGATTAACACCCAACTTACCAGTTTCTTCCAATAGATCTAGAACATACTTCATTTGAGAAATAAAAATCCCATGTTTAGATCTAGCTACCTCAATACCCAAGAATTATTGTAGCTGTCTCAGATCTTTCACCTCAAATTCTTGATGAAGGAGTTGTTTAAGAGACTCAATCTCACTGTTATCATTCCTTGTCACTACAATATCATCCACATATACAGCAAACAAAGTCAAGGAAGAGTCCACTCTTTTAATGAACAATGTATGGTCTGACTGGGCCTGTACATGGCCGAATTTTTCAAGGGCTTGTCTGAATCTATCAAACCAGGCTCCGAGGGAATGCTTTAGTCCATACAAGGCTTTATTCAACCGACACACCTTCTTTCATGTCTCTGCATCATAAAATCCAGGAGGTAACTGCATATAGACTTTTTCTTCTAAGTCTCCATTGAGGAGGACATTTTTAACAACCATCTGGAACAAGGGCCAAGAGTAACTGGCTGCAAGGGATAACAAAATTCTAATAGTGGTCATCTTTGCTACTGGAGCAAAAGTCTCCAAGTAGTCTATACCATAAGTTTGAGTAAACCCCTTTGCAACTAATCAGGCCTTATACCTTTCAATGGAACCATCAGCATTATGTTTCTCAGTAAATACCCATCTACATCCAACCGATTTCTTTCCTTTAGGCTGGTCAACTAGCTCCCAAGTATTATTCCTCAGAAGAGCATCCATTTCAACCTTCATTGCATCTTTCCACTCAGGAACTGACAAGGCTTCCTGCATTGTTCTGGGAATAGGAATATCTACAATGGATGTGAGAAAGGACCTGTAAGAGGGGGACAGACGATCGTAGGACAAGAACTGGGAAATGCAGTGAGCTGTGGATGTGGTGCAACGCCGTTTGCCTTTACGGACTGCAATGGGGAGGTCAAGGTCATCCAAAGGAGGTAAAGTAGCAATAGTGGAAGGTATCTCAGTGGGACCTGGATCTGATAAAGGGACTGTGGTACCTGGATCTGGATCCGCAGAAGGAACTGGGGCTGGCCTGGACTGTTGATGACCGAAATCAACCTGTCTCCACCGCCTGTAATAGACTCTCAAATCCTGACACCTCTGACAACCCTCCCCATTACATCCCTCATCACTCAATGAACAGGTAAAGGAACTTCTGATGAGTTAACCCCATTCTTACTCCCACTCTCACTACTTTCTCCCTGAGGAGAAACCCTAGGGTAATAGGGTACCTCCTCAAAGAAAGTAACATCCATCGAGACAAATCTCCTCCTAGAAGTAGGTTCATAGCAGCAATAACCCTTTTGAGTTTGTGCATAACCGAGAAAAATACATTTGGAGGCCTTAGGATCAAATTTGGAACGATGAGGTCCAAGAATCTGAACAAAGCAAGTGCAACCAAAGGTTTTAAGGGGAACAGTAAACAATTCTTTATTGGGGTATAGAAGGGTAAATGGAGGCTTCATGTCAAGAACCCGTGAAGGAACTCGATTAATGAGACACTGTTCTAAGAATAGCATCTCCCCAGAAATGAATAGGCACATTGGAGTTAAACATAATGCTTCTAGCCACCTCCAATATGTGCCTATTCTTCCTCTCAGCAACCCCATTCTGCTATGGTGTATAAGGACAAGTACTCGGGTGAATAATCCCATGATCAAGCAAATAAGAGGCTATTGGGTTGGTAAAGTATTCTTTCGCATTATCGGATTTGAAGATTTTGATTTTGACCCCAAACTGGGTTAAAATCATCTGATGAAAGATCTGGGTCARAGCRRGRACCTCATCTSGRGARCGCATAAGGTAAACCCAAGAAAAACGGGTATAGTCATCAACAAACAACAAGAAATATCTGTATCTCCCATAGAAGTGATGTGATACGGGCCCCAAACATCGGTATGCACAATATCAAAAAAATTACTACTTCTTTTATTACTAAAGGAATAAGATGTTCTACAATGCTTTGCAAGCTCACAACTCTCACATCTCAAATTGGACATCTGAACTGACTCAAATAAATTTGGAAACAAACTCTTCAAAGACTGAAAGGATAAATGACCYAACCRATTATGCCAAAGCATAACCTGAYTAAYAGACTRAGAAACAAAAGACTTCCTATCTTCACGATCTTCCCAATGAGAACTCTCTCCAAGCATATAGATCACATTCGTCTCACGGCCAGTCCCAATCACCTTCTTTGTCTCCAAGTCCTGAAAAACACATCGGTCAGGGAAAAAAGTTATTGAACAATTATAGTGTTTTGTAATACTACTGACTGAAAGCAAGTTAGCATTAAGCTCAGGAACATGCAGAACTGAAGATAAGGAAATGGTATTAGACAACTTAATGTCTTCCTTGCTAGAAATGGGAATTAGGGAACCATCAGCAATGGACACTTTATCTCTATCAGAAGATAAGTGATAGGTAGTGAACAGTGATGGTAAGCTAGTCATATGGTCAGATGCACCTGAATCTATTACCCAACAATGTTCAGTGTTACCTGGAGTTAAAGCATGGTAAGTTGAGGCCCGAGTACCTGAATGAGCAAAGACTGATGTGGGAGGAGCTGATGGTGGCTGAGATGATTGAGCTGAATTCCCAACTTCCTTTTCCAACTGAGTTAGGGCAGCCCAGACAGCAGCTAGGGTGTCTAGAGGCGTGCCTTTTGTGCCTAATGAGGATGCTGAATCGGTATTAACAGCCATATGAGCATTACCCCTTTTGTTCCTCAGTTTTGCTGGAACTAGATGAGGGTGCAGTTTCCAACATGTGTCTTTAGTATGCTTAGGATTCTTGCAATGTTCACACACTAGATCCCGCTTATCTTCCTTCTTTATATCCCTCTCCGTATCAC